ACACATCTAGATGTGTATAAGAGACAGGTACATACACAGTATCTAACTATAAAAGCAAGTATAATACTGTAATAATCAATCTACAGTATAATGTTTTTATTTAGCTTTAATAAAAGACAATTACTATAACTGTACTGTATGAAATACCAACTTAAATTCAAAACTGGGTGAAGCTTGAGGAATACAAAACACAAAATGCTATGAAATAGTGAGCATGCTCAATACATTCTGGTCTCAACAGAGCCTAGGTACCACAAAGGTCCATGGTTACCTAGGTAGCCAAGGTCTAGACACTTTGATTATAAATTTCAATTCGTTTCATTAGTAAATGTATAGTAAGTACTTGACGCAGTGTTCCAGGAATGCCGCCCTCAGCGGCGTGTGTGAAGCACAAGTCAGAGACAGAAGTGGAACATGGTTTCGTAGTCAGATTTGCGAGAAAAAATTCAGCTACCCGTATTTCTCGACTGAGACGTCAATTAGAGCTGTAATTTGTATGGCAAGAAGGAGATGGTGCTACCCTTAATTCGTATTAAGGGAATTTACGCCCACAAACCTTGCACTTATTAATGTTTTGGTTATAATAGAAAATCTTTATATTTTGGTGATGTCACACTCCACTATAGTTAGCATGCATACGTCATAAGCTAAATTACATCACGTTTTCCTGGCAAGGCAAACTTTCCCGGCATGCTTTTTTCATGGATAAACAAACACCACTGCTTTGCACATGAATGCCTTGCCTAGCTAGGGCTACAAAAGCCGCATAGTTAGCATATAATACTTAAACAAGGTATGTCTGCATCTAAATTATTCTTAGGCCCTAGTTAATTTCTTTTCTTATTTTAATTTATTTCTTTTGAAAGTATACTTTCTATCACATATAATTGCACTGTCTACTTAGGCCTAGTCTTATTACTGTATGCCTCATCGTCCCCCGCTATACACAGTACATCAGTAGGCTAGCCCCCCTCCCCATGCTACAGTACAGACGTTTGCTAGGCAACAGAACGTGATTGCACCTTCCTTCCCAGGTGTTCATGTAACATTTGCATGTTGTTAGCTAACCAGCTGCTTGTATTCCTTTGTGAAAATGAGTACCGCGGCGTACTCATTTTCCCAAAGCATTTGCATCCCCTCTCGGAGAGAGGGAACTTCAAAATAATTGTCTCCATATCTTCGCTAATTAATCACCATAATTTAGCTTACACTTATGCATGGAGGGAGCACTTAAAATGTACAATAATCATTTCACTACCCGACAAACCCCAAACTTTATTCATGCATCACATAAATAGTTTCATCTTGCTTTACTCCAACATCACTGGCACATGGTAACAACCAATTGGCAGAACATTTCCGGTCACACATTACTCTCCATAATGCAGCACCCCCTAGTTCCGTGACCTTTGGTTCATTATACTTTCAAAATAATTATTAGGGTGAAGAACTTTACAAAATCACTAAAAAGTTAATGGGTCGATTTGTATTTGTGTGGAGAATTTTGCGTTAAATTAACTCCATCTAAGGGTATTTAATACACATTATGGGCTAGGTACTGTACTATATTGTTTATCACTGTTTGAATGGACCAGACTTTGTACTGGGCAGAACGCCCTTGGAATGTACATTAGATGATGACAAGTAGCTTGGTACTATACATGAGTCGAAATGGGAATTAATCATGGCGGAATATGGGTCATTGACCCTGAGTGCAGTCATAATAATCATAGAATAAATAATAAGTCTGGCAAAAAATATGTTAACATTCAAAAACAAACCTCACAAAACAAATGATTGTGATTACCTGAAAAATTATATGGAATGCAATTTATGTGGGTGTTACTATACTGTAACATAAAAACTGTATATTCAAATCAAATAAACACATGGAATGATAAATTTCAAGCAGACAAAAAAGGTCAACAAACTTTAGCAACACTGGACAATAATGGAAAAGGTTTTTTTGTATTATATAATGGATGGAGATGACTAATTATAATAAACAAATGACAACATTTTCTATGAGTAACTTGTGAATTGAGAATGGAGAAAGGATATGAAGGGAGATAATGTATTCTAATTTATTTACATTAGTGGCTGATATATTTTAACCCAGATCACTGAGAAAGGAAGGCAAAGGCATCTTAACTACCAAGTTACTGCTTCATTCCATCAATATGCAAGATCTAAATCCAGAACTTAACTGCAAGTTTGGAAGGTAAGCATCTTAACCACAAAGCTATGCTTCATTCCATTAACAATTCAGGATCTGGATGGAATGTTATAGCACCACTATATAACAATTGTTGAATTATAACCCAGTTTGAGATGGGAAGACATGTATCATAATTATGTTATTCCACTATAATCTTGTTATCGGTCTGTAACATAATTTTCATGTCTATATTACCCTTTTTACACTGCGAGAATAAACCTGTTAATTCCAGAGTAATACTACTGTAGATGGATTTTCGTTTACATCGAACGAAAAAGTTTGGGTTGATCTCCAGTTGCACCATTTACTGGCAAAGTAGGCAGGTTCAAATACCGCCCTCAATTTTTGTTTGGATGGTGATTATCATGTTGCACAAGTCGTGATGGAGCCGCAATTATTGTTAATATTGAAGCAATATATCGGCAGATACTTTTTTAAATTATGCAATTAACGAAATCAGCAATTTTGTTAAATCTATACGGAAGTGCATGCGGCTTAATTTCAAGCAATACTGTAGGGTGGTAGGCCTTATAATCCGGATTCAAATTCGGTGTTGTTTACGCTGGCAACTCTGGTGTGTACAGTAGCTGGGTTGTCCAACCCTGAATGCGTCCCACATATTGAACCCAGAATGTTTGGCCAACCGGGTCATAATTTTCACATTAACTACAACTCCTGAGTTTCTAGTCTGGGTGTTGGAAAATCCCAGGTTGTGTCACCAATAAAAATCAATGTCATGTTTCTTCTATGCAATACTTGCCTACTATTCAGCCACTGACCAAGTATGGGCTGCTGGAAGACAATTACGACTGTTTTTGAGACAGGCATTTCCTACTTTTTGCTGTTTTGAAATGCTGATCTTAAAAGCTTATGAAAGTCCAACCATTGATCTATCAATCGATGTTTTTTTCATAGTTTCACTCTACTCCATACCGCCAGCATTTCCCATATGGTATACGAAGCTATGTTGCTTTTTTTCCTTTAAACCACATTTCACCAGTAATATTAAATGCTCATATTTCTTATAGTATTCAAAGCTTCCAGCAGTGGTATAACGCCTATGCGCTATGCGATCTAGCACCCTGACCAAAAAATGACTTTGTTGATAACAAATCATAATGTGCCTCTGAAATCGACTGCAGGGCATACCATATCCAGTGGTGGATTAAATGGAGGGGGACCATGTTGGCCAAGGAACACAACAAATTTTTCAAAAAATTTTACAATGGAGATGAAAGGAAAATTATATTCACGATTTTAACTCCTCCTGTGAGTGCCACTTCCAGCCATCTAGACGTGCACTATAATCATACATTTTCTTATCCCAGAACTACCCAGGGCAACAACATAATATGTCTCTTAAATCGACTGTAGAACATATCATTATATCCAGTGGCTGAATAAAAAAAGGAAGGGGAGAGGAGGACCTGCTGACCCAGGGAACCATTAAATTTGTCAAAATATTTTTTAATGGAGATAAAATGAAAATTATAAGATTCACAATTTTATGTCTTTGAGTGCCATTTCCAGCCATATCTTACCTGCTGAAGTGGTATAGACTCTCCTACTGTGAAAGTCCCTCCATGGCACCTTTATTTCAAATACCTGGATCAGTACTTCGTAAACAATATGCACATCATGCTATTTCTTTCAAATTAACTGAGTGTCAATGTTGTTCTTGCGATGACGTGAGATGAAATATTAAAAATATTTGTTTTGTCTTGCTTTATTTGTAATGATTAAATATCTTACAGAAAATACACGCATATTTGTTTTTTACTTCTTGCTTCATAGCATACTTCGTAGAGTGTGGATCACATGCTCTCTAAACGGGGTCTTTCTCTATGTTATTCACATTCGATCGGGGCTAGCGGTGCGAATCTCGACCCGACTAAAGACTATATTACAATGATATTTTTTGCTTATATTTTTGCTTTTGCATTCTTATTTGAAAAGTTATCAAAGATTTAATAATTTATTTAATGATTAAACTACATACTAATACTAAATTGAGTATTGTAGAAAATTAAATTACATTTAATAATACAAACAAAATTATAATTAAGTCAGTGCCGTGGTGAGCTTGGGCACCGCAACTTGGGCCGACGCTAATTTCAAGTGCACTGAAAGTTGAATCTACATTGCTTTGGATGAACTCACATTAACGTAAACCAGAATCAATAAATTTATGTGACCAACGATAAGTAAGTTGATTAAAAAGTATGACGCGCATGCATTACTTATTTCACGTAAATATATCGTTTACTGATTTGTTTACGGTCACGTAAATATATCCACTTACTTTTTTTTAATTAAATTTCTGAAATATTAAAAATAATTAGGCAGGCCTAGTAGGGGCCTAGGCTAGGCCTAGGCCTAGGCCTATTTTTCATCCATACAATATAGTTTAATTCATTTATTTCAATAAATTGACAAAGTCGTATTCGTAATCCTAGAATTACTATATAGGCCTATCGCGTACAGAAATTATACACTTCATAGCAAACATTTTAATATTATTTAATCTGAACAATTGAACCAGGCCAAGGCCCAAGAAATAATACATTCAGAGCGAAGTGTTTCAGTAGCTGACACCACTGCAATGAGTGCTTTACGCCCCGAATGATCAAGAATACGCCTCCGGTGGCCTATTTCTATATATCTGGCTAAGAAAACCGATCAAATACCATTGATTACAATTAAATTACAATGGTACAGATATTGTCCTTAAATTACGTTTGTCACTGATTTAATATATTGAACAAAAATGAAGATAACTCACTCGAAATACTGTAATGTTGTGTAATTAACATCCAATAATCCATTCGTACATAGTCTGCAATGGTATTCCCCATTGACGAAAAACACACGAACAAGAGACGTCAGCAAAATTAGTGTTGAGAAAATGGATAGAGGGCGCAAACACTATTTTTCGAAGAAGACGTACCTTCTGATGATGCTGTCAATCTAATGACCGTACATTTATGTTGTTGTAATTATAAATGTTTTAATTAAGCTGTTGCTAGAATATTTTTCGTTCCCTTAGTTAATTATGTATTATTTAATTTTTGATGAAATAAATACACCCAACAGCACCGTGACATGATGCTGCTCCAACAATCAAGTGAACACTGCCCGGAAACCGGTGGCGCTCTTAAGTTGAGGCCATTTTTATCGTTTCATATATACAGTATATATATTTTTTTACTAAAGACAAAAAATATACAAGTTCTGTAGTAGTAAGTACAAAAACAGGAAATTAGTCGGGACAGCTTGAAGATACACAGTAAATTTAGGTAAACATTTGGAATACTTATATCGGAAAACGGTGGACTTCCAACCAATGAGACACATCTATGTAAATTTATAAATTTAACAAACAAAATAGAATATACAGTAGTATAAAAAAAAATATTTTTAAACATTTTTTCGCAAACATACACAACGCTCATTTCTGTCTCGCTGACCTAGGCCAAGCAAGGCAACTCATCTAGCTATCTCCGCTCGCGCGAATTACCTTGTGCGAACATAGCGCGTGCTGTCATTGCCAGTAATTTCCCATCCCTTAATGCACTGCAGGTGGGCAAAGTGCGGCCCGAAAATGATTTTTTGCGGCCCGCGAAAATGAATTAAAAACCTCAGTGTGCGGCCCGCCAAGCAACATTGGCTAGAAAACACCTTGTTTTTTACAACGCGACACCGATCATTATGCAAGAAGTACGGTAACATTTAAACCGAACCCGCCTTTCTCTTTGGGTTTCATTGATTCATGGAATCGTTTTCAAGAGGGGGAAAACCTTGAATTTTGAAGGACTTAAAAGTTATTAAAAGACACCTCAGAAGTTGGGAGCTCCGATTTCCCGCCATCTAGGAATCAACATTTTCATAAGTCATTAAAAGACACCTAGCTCAAAAAGTCGGGAAAGCTCATTTCCCGCCATAAAATCAAAATTTTCCCCGGGTCGACCCCCGTACTCCCCTTCATTTCTGCTGGTGTTTGGGAAAAACTTTGGACCCCACCCCCTAAATTTGAACCCATTCATATTCCCAATCATCTTACTAGTGTGCCCCTCCACACCCAACTTTGAAAAATGTTCCGCCGGCCCTGTACATAATCAAATACAAAATCCACATCATTCGGACTTCACAATGACCTCAGTATGATCAGGGACTATAATTTCCCATATTCTTAATTCATAGTAATCCATATTATATCCTCGTATAGTTTTTTTCCCACATTTATTTATGGACCCATTGATTTATACATTTTTCTATCACATCTGTACTTTCTTGATAGCCTATTATTATATAGTATAGGTTTGTAATATTCAGTCATATATTTTTGAATTCCTCTTAAAGCCTATAATATTAGAGACTTTCTATTTCCGCCTTTCATTCTGTCTTTGTTTTTCAACATGCCTGTTAGTTAATATACTTTTGTTTATTCGCTACTTATCATGTTGGAGGGGGGTTTAATTATACAGTAATAATATATCGAGAGTATATTATTGAACGCCAAGCAAATAAGTAATATGGAACGCCATTAGTGCGAAAATCAAGCATTTTCACTTACCGTAATAATACAAAGTTTAGGGACTGAAACCCAGTCTATGGGTTGAATTCACTGTCATTTTTTATTCGTTTATCAATGACATTGCTGACTGAGATCTGTTCTGACACTGGTATTAGCCTCATTATAATTACAGCTCCCAATAAGTTTATTTGTTACTTACAGTAATCCTATACTTGAGGCATGTTGTGGCAAAATGGCTAAGTTGTAGCAAAAATTGAAATTCAAGTTATTGGTATTTTCAGATACCTGAGTATGGGATCTCTAAAATGAGGGGTCATTCATTTAAATTGGACATTTCAAGCCTAAGTTAATGGAAAGTGAAAGTACAGTACTCTTAGAATCAAGATAAACATGATTTTGAGTAATTGCCTTTCAAAGTTATTTGTGCATACATTGTTTAATAGAATGAACTACCAAAATAACATTAAATAAACAATTTGTTGACCACTTCTAGAACTAATACTTTGGTACATGATTAATAAGACATTAAACTGTTGTTCTATAATGAAAAACAAATTTGGATTTTTAGGCAATTTTTTGAGCTCCCATATTTTATAGCTCATTTACTCAATACTGGCCCGTGTGATAACTTAACCATTTCGCCACGACATGCCTCACTTACTCCGCCCATTAATATTTTTGTCCTATCACCATGTACATTATTTTCATTTGAAATGTTGACCGATCATATTATACTTCACATTTTATCATTTTTTTTGTAATAGCCAATCTATTCTATTTCATTGAGTTATGTATCTAAGGCACACAAGTGGATTATTTAGATAATTTAGTAAAGCTGATCATTATAGTTGGTCCAAACAATGATGTGCAGATGACAATATTTCAAAACACTCTATGAATCCCAAGGATAAAAAGCACATTTCACACCTGGTCTCTACCCAGTAGTAGTAGCATTCAACGCAAATGTCTCTTTCATTTTTGCAATCCGCAATCCAACAGCTGACGGACATTACAACAATTCACGACAAGATGTGGATAGATATTTTTTCATCATTCGTGACTTTATTAACATTGTTCTGCAAATATGAAATCAATGATATGCCTATAACCACATGCAACATTCAACATTTATTTCGTCCAATTGTCAAAACATTATACAACTAAAACAAAACACATTTGAGAATGACAGGATTAAACAAATGTGAACTTAATTAAATGTACAAATTTTCTCCGCCGCCAAGGGGAAAAAGTGTGTGACCATGCGACCAGCGGTCAGGGGGAATTGACCTTTAACCTAGAGACATTTTATAAAAATGTTTTTTTTTTTCCCACATCACAATTAAATGCATAAATACAATATTTTTGCTTGCTCCAAACCACTAAATTTGATCAAGATAATCTTCATAGTCAGAGGCACGATAAATTTTTATTTTCAGGATTGGCCAAGGGTGACACCTATATATAAATACATAGATAAAATAAATAATAAATACAAATAAATAAACTGAAGTAAAAATTAAATTTTGCTTTCAAATAAACTCAGGATAGAAGCTTGTACATACACATGTACAAATGCATGTACGCATTATACAAATATTGATGGGAATGGTGAGATCTATTGCTCCAAAGTGGTGTGGAGACCGTAGCTAACTATCTTCCAAAAGGCCAAAGACTCAAAGGGAGTCTCCACATCAGAAAGGGGCTACAGATTTCACTGTTTCTTGAATCTAGAGCAGTCAATTTTTTTGGTTCTATACTGTACACCACATGTACATAGACTCTACAAGGATTAAACAAAGTAATAAAAAGAGTACCCACAAAGTAGGCCTAGGCTTACTTCTTAGTGTAGGCCAAGGTGGTCAAAGGGTCAATCTCTCTCGCCGTAAAGGTCGCAGTCCTCTTTACCATCTTACAGTGCATATCATCAATTACACAGCGAAGTTATAAGTGCGGTCTAGAGATACATCGCAACAGGAAAAAAAAGTACTACCACTTAACATGACAGCACGTTTTTCTGGGAATTTATGAACAATTGAATAAATTCCAAGTACATCATAGGGGGAGAAGTGATGGTTGAAATTATTACCGCTTTTTAGCTAATCAGACGAATGGAATCTATGTATGCGGTATATAAAAGATATTATAAATCAACCTCCTGTACTATGCATTGGAATCAATAGTACAGTACCTAACATTGAAATTTAACTGTTTCATGGACTTAAAGAAGAAATATCTTTTGATAGAATCCAAGAGCAAACTGAGTGTGGCAAATCAGCATGTTTACACTTCTTTCTTTCCACAGTGTTGAAATACAGATTGTGTCTCTCCTACATATATGTTCAAATTGCCTTTTTGTCCACACTTCCTTCCACAATGCTCATATATAAATACCTCTCCTGTATTACATATCCTCAATTGTCTATTCAAATAACCTTTGTGTTTGAACTCTCTCCCACAATGTCTACAATCAATTCCCCTCCTGTATGTACTATATGATTTTTAATAGCATGTGGCTTCTCTTCTGCATGAATCTTAATATGTTTTTTAAACTTTCTCACTTTTTCAAATGTTTTTCCACAATGTTCACATTTGAAAACTGTTTTTATTTCAGTATGTTTTTTCTTATGTCTTTTCAATTTACATCGTCGTGCAAATTGTTTCCCACATGTCTCGCATACAAATGGTGACGCCCCTGTATGCATCCACAAATGTGTTTTCAAACTGCTTTTATGTTTAAACTTCTTTCCACATTGTTTACATGTATATGCGGTCATTCCTGTATGTATTCTCATATGTGTTTTCAACTCACTCCCTAATTCAAATTTCTTTTCACAACGTTCACATTCATATGGGGTTTGTATCCTCAAACGTTTCCTCAAACGTGTTATCAAATGAAATTTCTTTCTATGAGTTTCCAAAGCATGATAGCTCTTAAAGGTCTTTTTGCAATTTTCACATTCTTTTATATGTGTTCTCTTTAGATGTGTTTTAAAACTGCTATAACGAGGAAACTGCTTTTCACAATATGTGCAGTCATACCTTTGCTCTTGGTTTGTGTGTATTTTTACATGTGTGTTCATTGCTTGATGGTCTTTGAACTTTAGTGTACAATATTCACATTCTTCTGTTTTATGTGTCCTCAAATGTTTTTTAAATCTGGCATGACATATCCAATGCTTTCGACAATGTTTACATTCATATAATTTCTTTTGCTTTGTAGGCACCTTTAAACGTTTTTTCAAAGCAAGATGGCCTTTACATTTTTGTTCACATTCTTTAGTTTTATGTGTCCTTAAATGTTTTTCAAAACAGCCATAATATTTAAAATGCTTTCCACAATGTTTACATTTATATATTTCCTTTTGCTTTGTATGCACCTTTAAATGTTTTTTCAAAGCACGATAGCCTTTACATTTTTGTTCACATTCTTCTGTTTTATGTGTCCTCAAATGTTTTTTAAAACTGCCATAATACTTAAAATGCTTTCCACAATGTTTACATTCATATATTTTCTTTTGCCTTGTATGCATCTTTAAATGTTTTTTCAAAGCATGATGGCCTTTACATTTTTGTTCACATTCTTCTGTATGTTTCCTCAAATGTTTTTTCAAAGTGGTATAATAATCAAACTTTTTTCCACACTTTTCACAATCGTACGATACCTCTACTGTGTGTATACCCAAATGTGTCTTCAAAGCAGTACCATCTTTGAACTTGTGTTCACAATGTTCACATTCGTACAGTTCTTCTGCTGTTTGTGTTGTAAGATGTGCTTTCAAATTCATATTGTCTTCACACATCTTTTTATGCATACTCAAATGTGTCTCGAAAGTGCTAATATCTTTAAACTTTTCTCCACAAGCAGAAATTTCTGTTTTGACTGACATCAAAAACGGTTCCTTGTTTTTAATATTGTCTTCATCATTACTGAGAAAATCACTGTTCTGGCCTAGAAAATATGATGAAATATCAATTTCCTATATGGCTGTTAAACAATGTAATTTGACAAATTACACCCCTCACAATTCTGTGACTTATTTCAACCAAACTCATATTACCATGCTTACCGTACAAGATCTGCACTTAGCTTGCATATCCCCAACCACAAAAAAAAAACAACTTCTTTGCAATATAATATTAGATTTAGTGGACGCATGCAATAAAATTACTCATTTGATACTTGTATCTCAGATAAACATCATTCTTTGATTACAGACCCATCTTAATATTATTCATGTTTTACTCATATTCAACAACTATTAATATTTGAAATCTAGGCCTATTTTCCTGGACAGGCTTTACTTGGTTAAACTGACGAAGTAGCATGTTCACTGTAAGTTAAGTAGGCCCTTCGCATTGGAATATTTTCAGTAAAAATAACCTGTGTGTCTTAGGGGGTTTTCACCCAATAAAGTCCAGTTCAAGCATGGCTTTATATAATTGTGCAGGATTGGTCACCTGATGCCATTTAACAAACTGTTCATTGTTGGGTACGATATGATATTGACAATATTCATTTGAAATAATACGTTTTGAGCATAGCTCTTCCTATTGAAATGTCATATTACAGTATTTGAAATAAGCATTGGCAATATCATACAGTAATGACAAAACAAAAAAACTTTTGTTTATTTTATTTATTTTATTTCAACTTTATTTCACGAGGGTAGCTCTAACAGCTGCACTACAGTAGTACAGCTGACTTGAAGAGGCCCTCGAAAGAAAAACAATACATAAAAATATATACAATACATTTGCTTCTGAATTGTGAACAGTTACAATAAAACAACTACTAAAAAAAAAACCAACCTTTTTCAACCTTAATTTCAGGATTCTGATTATCATTCATTTCATATCCGGACATAGTTGGTTCTTCTTTAACAGAAAATTCTTGATCCATGATGCCTGAATATTGTGAGATCTAATAAGCAATTAAAAAAAAAAAAAAAATTACAGAGTTAGATTTTACCCATGTTCTGCCAGCAAAAAATTCTTTTGTAGCAAAATATCAGTAAATCATTGTAAACTGATCATTTTTTAGCCTGTGACTTACGGGAAATGGACCTTCTGCTAAGCTCCGCCCCTTGGATATTGTTGCTAAGGCAAAACATTTCTATCTTTTTTAAAGATTGTCAGAGAAAGCGGCAAAAAATTAAAAATAAAATTTTGTTTTCTTATTTAGGTAAATAGATTTGCCAAAAACATCCAGACGGAGGAAAAAATAAAAATAAAATTTTATTAGTGAATGTAAACAGTGTAATAAATGTGTGAATTCTTTTATACTGTTATTTTTTCTAAAACCGTCCAGAGGAGGGTGGAAAAAAAACAAAAAAAAAAAACCAATAATTAATACATCCATATTCTCCAAAATAATGATGTGGAGAATGAACAAATATACTGTATTGTAAAATGTTGGTTTTAGTGCTGCATTGTAGCTGTGGAATCTCCCCCTTCCCCTCCCCAACCCCCAGGCAGGAGGTGAGGTAAATTTTATTTTTAAAATTTTAATTTAAAATAGGACAAAAGAAAAATACTTTCTTTTTACAGTAGCTAAATTTAAAGTTTGTTTACAGTAGTTGCGTGAACACCTCAAAAATAGGTACAATTTGAGCGGAAAATCTCTAAGAAAATAGCAGCACAGAATTGTAATTTACTGTTGTCCATTGCTGTTATAGCAAATGTTTAGCTGCGCCCATACGGTGCTTCGTGCTTTATTTGTAACTAGCAAGCTGCTCACTCAGGCTCTGGAAGTCCCCACATCATCTTTATCCTATCCTAGCAAGCATTGCCATATTAAATATTAATACTGCCCCTCCCTAAACAATGGTCAGTTCTGTATCTGTACGTTCTCGTGCAAACACCTTCTGTGGTTATCGTCGCACCTAGTTACACCACCGGGTCTTAATAAACGCCTAATAGTAATAATAATGTAAATCACAATTTAGCGCTTCAATTTTTAACTTACATTCTCAATGTTTTGCAACATCTTCAACAAGCAAACAAATTTCTAGGCTAGATAAAAAACAGAGGGCGTTATCACTTGTTACGTTACAGGCCAGTTACAGGCAGCGCGACGACAAGCTCTTGCATCACAAGGATTGCCAAATTTGACCAAAAAGCCCGTCACTGGAAGATTCAATTTGAATATATTGGTATCATAGAAAGCTATAAAAATTGTCTATCAAACGATGCAAAGAATGACACAAATGTTCATTTTATTCCCTAAAATTTATTAACAAAAAAAAAAAAAAAAAAAAAAAAAAAATTAAAAAAAAAAAAAAAAAAAAAAACATTTTTTATGACGTTTAGGCTAAATATTTGAATAATAGGCCTACATGTTTTATTAAAATACAAAAAATGCTTAAAGCTAACATCCCTTTCGTCTAATACATTCTGACCACTTACTATTACACCTATACAAATTTCAGACATCCATTTTAAATTTCGGAGTTACAGTATGCCAAAGGTAATCTACTGAAAAATAGTAAATTTTACACATTTTTACCCATTTAAAACTTTTTAGCTAAATTTAAAACTACATGTATTATTTATGAAAAAAACATGAAGATCTATGTTTGATACATTTAAAAAAAATATAAAGTTTCGCCCAGGCTCAGTGTTCTCATTTTTTGTCAATTTCTGGCTTAAAATATTCTTTTTAAGATCTTTGATATTACTCTCTCTTCAAAAGCGGATACGCGTTGGCGTAAGGCTACGTTCAGACTTGAGATAAGCCACCTAGTTCAGACTGGCATGTAGATAAACTCGGTGAGTTGAGTCGGCTTTTTATCCACCTAGTCTGAATGGTCTGAACTAGGCCTAAAAATGAACAAGCTTAACGGACACGTTTACGCGTTTCCGGTTCCGAGGATACGTGTACGCGTTTCCTGTTCTCACGCACTTAGACTTAGATCAAAATGGCTACGCACTCGTACATCCAACAAAAATATCTATGATCAGTGTTTATCAATGCTTTGAATGAAATTTCAATCTTGGATAATAATTTTTAATTATTATGAAGGTTTATATGGAACTGTCATGAAAACATCACTTACTAAAAATAAACTTGCTCAATCGAACATTTGTACGATTAGGGTTTATCGACAAAATTGATTTGCTGTCTTAGTACAGTCTTGTACTATGTAATAACAATTTAACTTACATGTACTGAAGTAAGACAATTATGCATTAGCGCCCCCTTCCATCCGCACATTTGCCGATCACATTTTGGGGTAAAAAGTGCGAAAATGGCGTACATAGGTTTAGAAGTGGAGTAGGCCTATTAGACATGGCGGACTGAGATGGGGAATGATGAGAAAGGAGGGGATAGCTGAGAAATTGGGTGGGGGAGTCTCATTTTGAATAAACGGTGTACTTAGTGTCGAAAAGCGCGATCGATTCGTTGTTCGCTCGTGTCTCATAAGCCTATCTGGAGTAGAAAACGGTAAAACAACAAATCTCACTCACGTTTTCTAATGTTAACATAAAAATCCGATCCTTGTTGCAAAGTATGTTGCCGGGAAAGATTTAGAGAGGGGGGGGGGCAAGCCGGCCCCGGTCACACTTTTTTGAGAGAGTCTTTCGGTATCCGTCTCTAATTAGGTCTGCAAGGTCACTTTTGAGTTAAAATATCAAAGATTATTCAAGGGTGTCGGAAGCGGTCCGGCTGGTCCGGTTTTGGCCGGACCAATAATTTACAACTCAATATCGTCTGTAAGCCAAATTGTACTTTCTCTCTGACGCAACATTGGGAGATTCGGGGGGGGGGGGGGTCCTGACCTCCTGTATATGTAAACAGACATTGTTTTAATATTGTATTGCATCAATCGTGTAGGTCTAATTACAGGCCATAATATAACCTGTCACACTAACAATGATCCGTTTAAATTTCGTTTGTCAGTGATATGGATGTCTCCGGAGAGACTGCAAAACTTCAATAAAGAAACCTTGAAGTTAACGTCTAAAAGTTTGTCTGGGCCCCTTACCTACCTGACCACTTTTTGACAGACCACAAGTTAATTATTAGGTTTTGAATAGGAAAAGAAGGCTAAATTCCACCTGTATGTTTAAACTCAACCTACTCTCTCTCTTTGTTGACATAACTCAGGAACGGTTAATGTAACTGCTATTGCAAGTTTGTAATTTGTATATTGTACAGAGGGTCTTGGTTCAATAAACTTCAATAAACACCACTTGAATTTACTGGCTTCTTTTATTTCTATCTCTTCAAAACTCTTGTTCATATCTTCAATAAGCCGTAAATACTGCAATGAACAATAATGTAAATCAAGTAACTATAGAATAGTAAAATGCTATTCTTTTTCACTAGCCCAGTCATGCGTGACGACTGACTTTCACAATGACCTCACTAGGCAACAGGTACCATGCGAGGAATCCCAAGATTAAACGTTCATCAATGTAAATTTCTTGTTTTAATTGAACTCTAATAATATTTCGGCTATCATAATCAATAGTGCTCACTGGATAATCATTACATTTATATCAATACTGTGTAGAAAGTAATATGTAATGTTCCGAAGGCTTTACAGTATAACCAATCCCAGTATTTCTGATAGATTGCTGATTAAAATGTGAAATATTTAAGATTTTATATTCAGTACATCTCAAATGTTATATAAATCTCATATATCCCAAAATTACGTTATATTCATGCACCGAAGTATTCAACTTTATGTTTTTTGTTGAATGGTTTTTAATGATATTACAGTCTAATATGACCACAACATAAGGAAGTCCTCCCCTTTAAACGTTGCGTATCTAAATATACATATATATATTTCCTTAAATCAAGGAAGTCCACTCGTTAAATTAGTAGGCCTATATATAGTATAAAGAATTTTGTCTGTCAATCACAGATATCCAAATTACTTTTTATGCATGCACCGACATGAGTTAACCTAATAACTTTGATATGTATGTTGGACTTCCTTATGTTGTGGTCATATTAGACTAATATTACATATGTTTTATGTTGTTGGTTGAATGGACTTTTTAATAATAATTATTACCGTCTAATATTACCACAACATAAGGAAGTCCACTCTGTAAATGTTTAGCATAATATTGTACAGAGAATTTCGATTGTATATCAATACCATTATACACATGTTAGATCCAAATCACGTTTAGTGCAAGCACCGACGATGAAAGATTAAACATAATCCTTTTGATATGTAGGCCTACATGTTTTATGTTATGTGTTGATTGGTCTTAATAATAATATTACAGTTTAATGGCTTAATGTTAATAATATTATTTAATGGTTCACAATAATATTACAGTTTAATGGCCCCAGAACCCCGAACCCATACCTGGGGCCCTTGGCGACCCCCTATCCCCAATCATCAGTACTCGCGCTTCGCTCGCAACCTGACCACTTCAATTTCTCTTGCCCTCGCATTTGGCCGGACGAATAAAAATTACTTGCGACGCGCCTGTTATTACAGTAGGCCAAGTTGGTACTTCGTAAAAATGTGGTCCCGGATTAGAAGGGTCTCGATTGTAGGGTGTACCGATTAGACCTAATTTTCATCACGTCACGTTAGTCGTACTGACCTCATGAAAAATTACACTGGACCGAATCCCATACAGGATTTGCACAAAATCTGTTTGTATTGTTTGCATATATTAATCGCAGTTTCCCATTGGAGAGTGTATTGATTATTGTAGATATTCTTTTAATTTAAAATGAGCCAACAGATTCCTTCAACAGTTAGTGTCGATTAACTGTTTTGACCAGTGCTTCATTGTTGATAACATTGTTCTGGGGGGGGGGGGAGAAAGAAAGAAACCCAGTTGATATTTTAATTTAATGTCTGGAAATCTATTGGATTTCACCACAGTTTTTCGTTAACTACTCATCTAGGTTCAGAAAGCGACTTCTGACTGTCAAACACTCAAGTTATACATACAAAGATTGGTTCCGTTTCGATGAACACAGACATCAATCAAGAAAACTGGAAATTACGAAAGGCCCACAACATCTACAATATTCATCATCTGTATTTTAATACAGTAATCAGCTTCATTCCAACATGGCCAGTCAGTAACAACTGTTCTTCCCTGAGGTCGTGCGCATGAACAAATGGAATTGAAAATGTTAGCAGTAAATACACTGATTCCAGCCTGAAACTCTGCGAGACCTTGCATCTGTTTATGAAAAAAGGGGAGTTCGTCGTGTGAACCAATTTCTCTAGAAGGCACCGCGTCGGAAAGACATACCGTACATGAAATAGTAATTTTAAACGAACTGTGGAGATCATCTCGTGCCATTAAACCGTTACCTTCTGGCCAGAAAGTTATTAGTAAAATTGATTTTCAGAAGTATGTATACCGTCGGTGAATCTACTGTCTAATAACCATCTATGGAACACGTAAAAAGAGACATTTCAAGTACAGTAGAGTACAGTAAGACCTGTATCCGAGGGAAAAGATATATCGATGCGTTCGTTCTGACCTCATATAACAACTAATCATTTAATCATTCAATCAATCGATTAATTAATTAAATAAATCAAAACAAAGCTCTTCTCAAGTTGAATGCGAAATATTTCACGCATCGTTACAATATTTTGCGCGTGCAAATTGGATAAATCTACACCTACACACCGAAGCACATATCCACACACTTCTATTTCTCTAAATAATTCGTTCTATTAATTCGTATTATTATTTTGGGACAGTCTCTCTAAAACATGTCACACTTGAGATGATTCAAACATCCATGTTTAGTTGAAAATGTAATCATCCATCTTATTTCTGGCTGTTACGATGTCGCAGCATATTTACATTAATATTTTAGTCTATTATTAGTAGTACTGCACTATACATATTAGCTCAGTGTCAATCACGCGCCTGTGACGCAACGCGTGAGTGCCATCACAATTTTGTTTGTGCTACCCAGAAACTGAACATAACTCGTCATGGGTTCAAAAGTTGATCATCATGACCACAATTTTCCTACAACAGAAATAGTTCACATTAAACGAGAGAACATAAAAAACAAGGCAATGCTGGCTGACAGCAGCCATTAAAAAGCTCCAGATTTACCCATCGACACGCGTCGTTAACGCTTACACTTATCATTAACAGAAGACAGAATTAATCTGAGAGTTAACATTTTATGTTTTCCCCCTCCTGCTTAGATGCTCTTATCGTCTGTCAAGATATTCTTCCTCTTTAAAATGGTCACGTGATAATCCATCGATCAGACGAATCGTAATCCGTCCATCAATCGTCACCGTTGACTTTATAGTCAATCGTAATCGACGTCACAAAGTTTCACTACACCATAAACCAACACTCAAAATAAATCAGACAATATAAATGTTTCGATCAAAAGGAGCTTTAATATTTCCTATACACATTATCGACATGTTGCGGTATTTTCGTAAATACCGAAGAGAAATGCTATTCGTTTTAAAAAACACCGAATACTATACACATGTCGCCAGGTACACATGGCCGATCTTCTTACAGGCAAATTGGTGGTGGGGAGTGCATAACCAAGGAATGACTTAACACGTTGCTAACCACAACTTAAATAGTATACAGTACCAATATCATCTTTATGTACTAGAGCTCCCATAGAAAATAAAATCTTTATTTTTATTGACAAGATAAAACAACCTGCCAATAAACTTCATATACACTTCTCATCCACTTTCGATATTATTACGATTTTGTTAGTACGTAGCATTTGAGATCGTCCCTAGCTAAATTCATAGTTTTGCAAGCGTTTTAAAAATATGCGAGACAATCCCTGACCAAGTAACATACAGTACACGGCGAAAGATTGGGGTAAAAATTAACTTTTTGGTCTTGCACTATACCTACAGCAGCTTGTCTCTAAGGATTATTGGAATTCATGTAAATTTTCCCCGCCATTTTTAAACTTGATTCTCATTTGCATGTGGTATTCAAATTTATGTAAATGAGCCACAAGTTGGCATACCTCACAACTATTAATCAATTTCCACATACATTTTCTCTCTATATATTGTATTATTGTACCTTACAACATCTTATCATTTACATTACTTTATTTACAATTGATTTACAAATAGATTAATCGATGACATAACAATAACAACTACAATAATAATGATCATAATAATAATATGAACAATAATAATATAAACAATATTAATAACAATAAATGTGGACTGCAGATATAAATCAATGTAAACGATCATATAAAACTTTAGTGGTAGAATCTAAATTTACAGTGTTAATAAGAACATGCGGAAAAAATAATCAACATTAGTTAAAGTCAAAGACACATTAATTTTATCAACATTAATTCGAGCATGGATCTACAATTGCTCTATAATAAAAAAAATCTAGGTGAGAAAAACGTCATTAAACATTGAGCATTCAACTACGGTTCCCATTTTACTTAATAAGACACAAGCAAAAATAAATGCAGAAACATACTATCATTCATTTTGTAACCTTTTTTTTCCTTCATAAGGTTAAAGGAAAAGAATATAATAATAATAAGCGCATAGAGTTCCAATTATTATGCACTAAGCAAGACTCATATATTATCATTATTAAAATTATTATTTTATATTATGTTATACTATTATAATTACAATATATTATATTATTATAATTACTATATATTTTAGTATTATAAATAATAATTAATTATAATTAACACAATAGCCTAATTATAATTGAAATTATTATTTATAATAATGTATTAATAGAAATAAAATATTCTAAATAAATGTTTTAATAAAATACTGTAATGATAATCAATAATATCAATAACAATAACAAGAATAATAATTATAATAATAATAGAATAACATTAATATTTCACTCTTTATTCACAATACAAATTTGGTGAAGTCAAGTTAAGTTCTCTAATATGTGCACCAAAAATCACAGAAAAAATACAAAAGAAATATATTAGACAGGTGAAAATATGACAGGTGAAAAAAGTACTGAAGTGTTATCTATTCAAGCACACAAAACTGCACCAAGAAAACACTCAAAATATCAACATAATATATCTTAAAATAGATAAAGAAACAACACACAATAACCAAATATATTATTAGCTAATTTCATATTATCTGGAGTAGATGATGAAGTCCACCATGTGAATTCAAGAACTGTTGAGTGCGATGAAAATGTCTCGACGGTTGGTTCGGTTGACTCCATTATCAGAGTACAATTATATATTAGTAAAATAATCAAAAGAATTTTTTTTTATACAACACAAAGTTCTTGTCTAAATTATTTAGCCTACATATGAAACTGTAAACCTTCAGTAACATTTAAATCCCCATGCGTATCGTCCAGAAGTTATTCTATATTCTTGGAACCATTGGAATATAATAAAATAACTGGTACGAGATAATTTTTATTTCTTTTATGCTTTCCCATCCATATTTATAAAACCAAACATTTAAAATATATTTCACTTATATTGTTTTTTGGCAGAATTACAAGTATTCACACCAAAATTACTTCCTAAAACATATTTTATGAAGTTGATGGCTATACTCTCTATTACAATGAGAATGTTTTATAATTCAAAGATATGTGAAATTAAGATTGCATTTGTTTCAAAATTTAATTACATCCAGCATTTTCAAAAATGATATCTAAATTGATGCATTTCAGTTGAAATTAGTTAAAAAATAAATCATATTGCATAATTTACAAACAGATTAAAGATAAATGAATGTATATTGTAATCAGAAACAAACTTTACTATTGTGGGCATCAAATAAGTTAATATGACCTCTGGCCATTATGAAATATTTCCATATATATGAGTGCCCTTGCAAAATTTGCCAAAGAAAATGTAAAAATACAATTTCATTTTTTCTTTGCAATCAGTTGGAACAAATGTTTGGATTAGGACATATGTCTCCACACGTCAAATTAAAGAATTAAAAATCATCTTCAGTTAACAGTATCGCAACACGCTTCAGTGATCACATCATGCAAACATGGACAAACTCATAAGAAGAATCCTATCATAGCTTTTAGCAGCAGCTCATAACAAACAGTACACAGTTGTGTAGCACGATAACGTTTGGGAATCCAGGCTCATTTGTGAAATTAACGACCTCCAGACGTTGATTCCACCTCGTTCTTCAACAAGCTAAAACCACATGACTACATTGGCTGCTACATCTGTCCAGGATAATAAGTTCCAATTCACTAATTCTACAAATCATAACTCAAAGTAGGCAACACATTACTAGTGCAGGTTGAAATTTTATAATAATCTCAAAAATATAAGTCTAAAAAGAAGATCAAAATCTATGAAATCATTGGGACAAACATGAATATATATGATAGGTTCTACATTCATGTCCGTACATTGTTATATAATGCACGTAAAACAAACCGTGTCATACAGACTGACTCATGTGATATGTTTAGAATAAGTAAAAACAGTGTCACCAAGACACATAACCACCTAGTTGTTTTTGTGACGAAGACAGTCAAAGAAACAACCGTAACAAAACTAATAATTATTACAAATGCATTTGCAATTACAAATTAATTACAGTAAGCAAGACACCATATCAGAAGTTGGTACTACTGTGTTATCTTATTTATCGCTGAAAATTTCCAGAATAAAACATGTTATATAAATTATTTTCGATCCAAATATAATTACACAATAGTTGGCACCAGTTTCATTATTCCTAATGAAAAAAATGCTTTTTTATATTATTATTCATAAACAGGGTAGAACATAAAATGGAAATAGATACAATCTATAGAGAGTTCAAGGTTAATTCATACAGTAATCTATTTGTTGGTGTCTCACCTATAATAATAACAACAGGCTAGCTCAGATTTAATAATCAAAATAAATGATACAGTCAATATATAACTTTTGTATTATCCCTCTTGCTAACAGTAGAGCCTCGGGCAAATTATATTTTTTTTCTCTTTATAATATTGCATCGCTGCAGTTTTTACACTGATTATGTGCTACACTAATTGGGAAAAAAATGGAAGAAAACTTGGAAAGAGATGTTAATATAATCAAATGTAATTTGAGTAACAACACATAAATCAGGCTTATCGTCAAAATTATTTGCCATATTTTCCTCAACTTATGATCTCTGCTATAATATTTCTAAGCAAATTCCCCAAAGCCAGAGTAAATGTGTACTTAAATTGACACTGTAATAAAAATGTTTAGCGTACATTAATAGATGTTTTGAATGCATCCATGTAAGTTCGTCTGCCCCCGAGACCCCCGAGGCCCAGATAACATACGTAAATACAACTATTTGATTCATCTCGGTATTAGCCGTGTTAGCACATGTGTCTCTGCATTCTAATTACACTTTGCATCTTAAAACGTGCTGGTGTGCGCATCTTAAACAATCATTAGTTAATCACTCTGACTTCGTTAAAGACACACGAAAGGATATGTAGGAGACAGCTGGTTGCCTCAATAATCATGAAAGCGAAGCCTCCTTGTATCGTACTGTTATGACAAGAATCTAACTAATATTACAGTAGCGACAATGCATACTTAACAAGACTAAACAATCTTAATAAAAAGTGACCTTCAAAAATTGTATATAGTTCATGAAATTGCAAATAAAATCTTCAATCACTCTAATTCAACTTTAATTTCATATATGTTCTAATATATGATTTAGAATTCTTTTTACAACCATCATCATCATAGACCAAAATATATTATTGGAATTAGTAGTTTCTTTGGTTGAAAGAATATATTGATGTTGATTATCACTCAACCAAAAACTTTCTTCAAAAACTTTTATGAATCATTTACTTCAAAATAAAATTGTTTAGAAAAACAACAAAACTTTATATACCTTTGACCTAGATTTTAATGTCTGCTTCTAGGTACTTGTACAATAGTAGTATCTTCAGTATTGTAAAAGTTATTAATTGTTTGGCATCATTAGAATTAGAATACAAACAAAATTTAATTATAATATAAAACAAAATTTTTAAAAAGTGATAATATACAAGAAATTAACTGAAAGACATACAACATCTGAAAAATACTACTTAAAAAAAACCAAATCATCTTATTATAATACAAATACAGTGATATTCTAACAGTATTTTTTGACAATACTGTTACAAATTCATAATCTGCTACATTAGAGAACATGTAAAATTATTCAATAAAATTTCAATAAAACAATATAAAACTCAATGGTATTTGTAACACTTGTAAATCAGACAACATTATTTTATATATAATTTGTAAAATCATCTGATTTCATGATGCGCAGTTGATTACCCAATGTTCGCGAAGACACGTTGAACTGAACGACCCATGCAGGTGGCAGAATAAGCACTTCCCAGGTGTCAACTGACGAAATAATTCCGAGAAATATATGCACACACTATCATCGATGGGTGTAGTAAAGGATAAAAGATAGAAAAAGCATCACGCAACATTATTTGTCTTTTTTTCAATAACGTCTTTTCATTCAATAACAATACCCGATAAGGAATGTCCATCTATAAACATATTTTATTTTTCTGTATTAAAAACTTGATATAGTTCATTACACAACTGTGTTACTGTCTGTATACAGTTTATTTAGCATCTTTGTTATTGTATATCTTATAACCATGATGTTAGTTGCTTCTCAATGACAGCGACTGCATCAGGTCGTCCCATCTCTTGAAATACGCCAAGTAAATCCATGAGGGCACCCTCTTCTCGATGCAATGCTTCCCATAAATCTAGGATCAAGTCTGTGGGGCTAGGTCTGACTGCAAAATAGTTGGTGTACCTAAAAATAACAACAGATAGGCAATGCTAATTGAATATAATTTCTTGGCAAACATGCAATGAAAGTATGACAATTAATTAACCAACAAACTCTCAAAAATTAATCAACACTTTAAATTCATATTATACAGTAAGTTACTGACTTGAGAAACACATTGAGTCAAAATGTTATCACCAATTTAAGCGTTTAGAATATTGGAACAATGTTACTTAATGCGTCTGTTAATTAATGTGAAGAATACTTGTAGACACTTAGACTCGAGATATTTTTTTCTGAAATTTATCTAATATAAAACAAATCTAATAATCATGAACTTTATGAACTTTAATATTCATATGAGTAGATTATGAAATAGTTTCATGGGGATCACATATAAGAGGATTTTATTGCATTTACGTAGGTATAGATTTACACAAGTATAGGCCTACTTACATGTTACTATATATAACTCCCAAGTTAACATGGAAATGAAGCGAAAATAATGTGACCCAGAACAAACCATAAACATGGCCACCACGGTTTGATGACCCTATTTTTTTTGTTGTAAAGGTTATTTGGTAGATTTTTAAGTTCTCAATTCTTGTATGACTGATTGATGTTATGTTCATTGAGCCTACAAAATTTTGCTTAAGAATGACTGAGATCCCAACTGATTTCATGATGCCTTGGTTGATGCCTTGGTAGGCAAGAAGGGACAATGTTAGGCCCTGGACAGCAGAGATCCAAGGATAGTTGAATCCTCAGATGGGCTGAAGCCCCAGAAGAGTTGAGGCCACAACCCAATGGACTTTTCTGCTAAGCTTCACTTAGCTTATTGAACACGCCCATATGTCAGACACAGCTCTGATTGGTCAATTTTTAAGTAGACTGACACTCCAGACAGGTCCATTACACATATTGTTCAATAATTCTGTGCCTAGGCCTTACCTGTCAACACCTAGTTTCACTGCTAACAACCGCCAGTCATTGCCTCTGGTTTTCGGTGGATCTAACACTTCGCAAAGCTCTAACCTGTAAGGCCTGCAGATTCTGAATGCCTTGTTAGGTGGTTCCATCATTGAACTACTGCTGGTACTTGATTCATGCTCAGAACAAAGTAATGACTTTTGTTCTAATTCCATCTAAAATAATGAATAAAAAAAACCTATAATTTTGGAACTGAAATATACAAAAAGCACCAAAACATTTTATATTTCTTATTTCAATTACGATGGACATTATCATAATATAGAATACCAAAATTTGATTTAAAAAAAACCCTATGATTGGACATTATTATACATCATTTGCCAATGTAGCACCAACTCTTTGGAATTTACTACCTACAAGCATTAAACATTGTTCTTCTGATGCTTTATTATTTTAAGAAATTACTCTTTTTTTTTTTTAATGATGTCATGCATACTGCCAAATGATGCTTTATAAATTTCCATATAATGACAATGACCTTGGTGGTGGATATAAAAAAAATAATGTCAAAAGGAAAAATATGTTGAATGAGGCTTACTTCATCAGCTGTCCTTGTAATTTGAAGTGACTGTGTATTGCTGTCGATTCCCTGTGACACCTCTATCCTACAATGCACCATTCCAACGGATGCTTCTGTCCTCTCCAGTAGGAATGAACAATGCAATGTGCTAGATGCTCCGCTCCAGATATGGCAAAATGGAATTTCCTTAAAAAAAAAAAAAAATAAATAAATTAAAATATAATATAATTTAGATAAAAGCAAAAGTTATGGTATTACTATTATACCATGTGAGCATAGTGATTGGTTGAAATTGTTTATGTTGGTCCACCCCTTTTATCCAAATACGGAATATAAGATACGTCATTCTTTTTGCATCCGGGTACCAGCATGCAGTGTTTTACAAGTGCTTTGTTCTGTCTCAAAAATTAACTAGCTCATTGGTGGCACTGTCCAGAATGAGGAAAAAATAATAATAATATAATAAGGGATTTGTGGCAAGTCTAGGTTTGTGGTTAAGATACTTGACTTTTAATCAAGAATTCTCAAGGGAATAATGCTTTGTTTGCATTGGATTATTGTTGGTCCAACTAGCACCCCACCCCCCTCTAATTGGTTAGTTTGACCAAAAATCAATTTAGTGTACAGCCTAGGTAACGTTTTGCTTCATCAAATTAGTCAAGCCACACGTTAAGTTTAACCTAGCAAATGTTGACCAGGAAATATGACCAGGCTTCTTTTTACCGCAAAAGAAAAAAAAAAGCCCAAAGCAGTGGGACAGTTAAACCTCCCTGAGCTTGTGTTACTACCGCATATTACTGACTCTTTCATTTAACATATACATGATTAGTGCGATCAGCTGTGCGATTTCACCAGTGTAAACTTACCCTTCATCTCAGTCAAATTAATCCAGTGTGAACATGGCTTTAAGCTCTGTCCACACCATCAAATTTGCTTTGATGAAAAACTGTTGTATGCCCATATATAGTCATGATGTGCCTATATATGGTCATGATTTGATGTCATCATGACCATATATAGACATGTCACATGTTTTTGTCATAAATTTGTCTGGACAACGCTTAGTGTACTATACATGGAGAACATAATTCCATACTGTAATTGGCGATTTATTTGCAGGTGCATGTCTAAAGAATTAACCTAGTACCTGATAATTAGCAGCAAGTTTGCTTCGCCAACCTGTCATTATTTCTTCAATGCTTAGACACAGGTTGGTACCAGAATACCGAAACTGCAATGTTTGAGGTTTCTGGAGTAACACGCCTCCTTGCTTTTGCTCTGTCTGTAAAACACTCTGAAAGTAAAAAAGTAAAACTTTTTGAATAAAACACTGCATCAAAGAAATAACTAAATTATAAAAAGTACAATGAATAAAATATTCCTCCAACATCTTGAAAACATCCTACTTAACGGTAGTTTTAGCTTATTTGTGGAAAACGAGAAGTTGAAAAAGAACCAAATTTATGAGTGACAATGTAAATGAATGAATGACTGGCAAACTGATTGAAAATGTCATTCATAATTCAGATAAATCCTTTTTAGGCCTCGCACGATGACGACAAAGTCAAGCTAAATGTGTAGCCATTCTGGCTGTTGCAGAGATGACGAGCAATTTATGGGCCAAAAATTTGAGGACTATTGTCTACTAAATGATCTGACATTTAAATTTACGATGTCAATAAAAGCCGTAATGATGAATGATGTCTGGTTGGAAAAAAAATCAAATACCATTTTCACGGTTAAAAAGTTTAGGCAATAATAAAAAAATCTGTGGGTTTATCTATCCATAACAACATGTTCTCGATATATGGGTATAAATTATATTGGAATTGAGATGACTATCAACTGCCATTGGCTGCTCATTGATTCTGAGCAAAGTTAAATTAAACTGAGATAGTTGTACTGAGCAGTTATCAAACACTGTTGTTTTAACTTCCAAACAATGGTGAAATTAAGCATAACAACACTGTTAATGTAATACTTAAAAATTCTGAGCAATTGCTCAAAACTGTAGAACTGAGCAAACTTAAGGTCACTGTTGACTCTCTGGGCATTAATCAAGAGGGAGGAAATGAGCTAATGATAGTACTGATGCTCATAACAAAATTCTGAGCAATATTATCGCATTTATCGATAGTGACACAGATCAACCTCTGCAATTAGAATCTTAACAAGAACTGCATGTGGAACTTCTTGAAAGCTGTTTTCCAAATTGTCCTTAATGTAAAGGTGAAACTATGGAGCACTTTGAAAACACCAATTAATGAATTGCTTATTAAATTGCATCCGTATTACATCCTTATACACCATTGCAAGAAATTGGAATTGGTACAGCCAACTACTATAATTTCTCCAAATTTGGCTTCACTATTAGCAGGTGCAATTTGCATCTATATAATCATGTTTTTGAACAAGTAGGACATCGTTATATTAGTCCTTACTGTCAAATAGGTCACTGTCTACCTGATCTTTTGACCTACATTTTGTAAAAGGCTTCCATAGATCTTGCATAGAAACTATGTTACACCTCTGCCTTCTCCTCTCTACATTGCAGTTTTTTTTTGTGTGTTATTGCACCGTTTGCCATCTTTATTGGTTATCAATATTTCATTTTTGTTATGCAATTTTTACTTGGGAGAATTGTAATGGTAATGTGTGCATGAATGCCTTCCATGCTATCTCTCGCAGCTGGTAGGCCTTACTTTTTGTTTGGCTCCCATAAAACTATAATTTATTTAAATAATTTACATTTCCCTAGAGCGTCTTTCCATTCCAGTCAAAAATGAGCTCTCCACCCTACTGGTTTTACTGCAGTAATGTAAGGCTACATTTAAATAAGTGTGCTTATGCCATTTTTGATCTACAGTACGTAAATTGGTAAGATCGGTTCAGTTACAAACTATTAAAAACTGTAAATTTATTAGGTATTTAGATACATACTATACTATGACAAATTACTATGTTAACATAGCTATCGAATTAGAGATAAACAATCCATTAAATTATATTATCTTGTAGCAATATTTATGGCAATAGCAAAATAGTATAATTAGAAGAATCAATTCAACACACTAATTCCAGTAGTTGAAGCAAAAACTATAAATTTAATGATTTGTCACACACTATGTATTTATAGGGGAGGAAGAAGAGGAAGGAAGGACAGGTAATAAGTTACAATCAAGTTTCTTAACTACTACATATTCCAACCAAGTTCAAGTTATCACAACTTAAACTTTAAATTTTCAAAATTAAGTATTGATTGCGCTATGCAATTATTTTATCACTAATCTAGACACAGTAAATTCCTCAAAACTGTGACTGCAATATTCTATATTATATTATGGATTTCCTGGTAAAGTCTCTTCCACGCGCCATTCTGCTATAGTACTTGTTTATTTTCTTTGCATAATACGTGGATTACATGAGACTAGCCAGAAGACGACTTGACTGCGCAGGAAAAGAATTTTGCTACACAATTAAAAACATGATTGCAAATATGTATGAGATGGACACTAATAATGTAACATGTACTCATCATTGTTATGTTAAGAAACCACCAAAAAATTTACAAGATATCACTCCCACACAGAAGAATAAGGACCACAATAACATACAATATGTCCAAAACACTGAGTTCTGTTGTTTATCCCATGGATCAAAGACCTACAGTATATAACTTTATTATGTAAAGGCTGAACTTGAATAATATATTGAATAGCGAACTATATATTGCTTCTGTCACTCTCATCATAAAGGGAACCATTCAAAGAAATATAGTTATGTTAAAAGCTTGCTTAAATTGTCTCTTTTAACAGATAGAACGTGGTTTATCTTCCGGAAAATGATTGACATACGAAATTGACACTCCAAATTGGTGCTCTGCCGTAGGTGTCATCAGATGCGATATTACATACAAGCATGTGTTGATAGCTCATAAAAATATTGGTGTAATGACCAACCTATTTCCTACATAACAAAACTTCATTAAAGCACAAGGATCAATCAGTCTAATTAGCAATTCTAGTACTAGTTGGCAAGTTTCTGGAATTTGCAGGAGGCCAATTACAGTGCTATTTACTTAACAGCGCCCAATTTTACCACATATAATGTTCTGAATTATTCATAGATATGCATATTTCATATTAACATAATTTTACTCCTTACCCCACCTCTTAATGCCAAATGAATGAAAACTAACATATGCCCTATTAAGGATTTATTATAAAACTAACATATGCCCTATTAAGGATTTATTATATTTGTTGGTGTGGTGGGCAATTTTCATACAGAAACTTGCTCCAGCTGTTGACAACCAGACTCTGCACTTTGTATTGAAATGAAATTATGAATTCTAAATCATGCCCAAAGCATTTTAGGCCTATATTATAACTAGATAGATTGTGATTCGTAGACTGCTATATGCGTTCAGAATCGCAGCAAAGTGTTGAAATTTTCATTGAAACGAGAGGTAAATGGTGATGTGCTCAGAAATTGATAAGCCAGCCTTTTACTAATGATGTATTTGTTGTTGCTGATGCGAGCATCGAAGTACTACTAAGGAGAATTTAAAACTAAAAACAGCGCGGAATCCATGTTGCTAATTGCACTCATTCGATTCTAACATCTTTTGAAAGTCCATCTATCTTAGATATAGGGTCTCAGTGTTGTGTAATAAACTTAAAAAAATAAAATTCAATATTTAACTTGCATTCTTGTATAATTAATTACGTTATTAAGTTTCTATTGAAATTTAAAACAAGAAAATACTTTCTTATCCAATTTACAGATACTTGCTCTTATATTCACAGGTAATCGATGGTTGGCGCATCAGTTGTGGCTTGGACTCCTGACCTTAAGTTAGGGGTTCCAAACTCTTGCTCTACAAGTCGCTTGTGTTCTTGGGCAAGCCACTTTATCTACGTTTGTCTTTATCTAACAAGGTGTATAAATGGATAACTGTTTATAGGATGGATGTTAGTTATGGAATTGATGGTACTAGTTTTGTGTGCTGAGTACATGTGCACGATTAGGTATACTCCCCAGGGAACAGAGAAGGTTGCACCTTGTGCTAGTTTGCCATTGTATGTTATCTAGTGACCAGGGGTAATAATGGTCAATGTTAAACCTTGTGCTTAATGTGTTCTCAGAAGCCAAAAAACACAGAAAATTATGAAGAATTTCAACACATGACAGCCATATTAATGTCCCACTATAAAACTTTATGTAACTAATTTATGTGATGTGCCCATATATGGGCATGATGACACCCAAATATGGACATATCACATTTATTTGTCACATAGAATTTGATAGTGGACAGAACTTAAGATAATCAAATTCCTTAAAAAAACAAAATGAACATTTTTTTTTTTTGGGTCATTAAAGATAATTTCTAGCAGAGCGCTTCTCCAAACCTTAAGGGGAGCTCGAAGAAGCTCAATAATATTATCAAATCGACTATTTAAATGCGAGCCAACCAAAAAATGCGATGACAGACTGGCCACTTTAATGTTACTTAGAAATAGCAAGATGTTGATATTGCATAAAGTAGCTCAAGGATAACTGTTAACAACAATAACAATGAGCTAAGAACGTGGATTACCAGGTACGGGCAAGACGACAATTCCCCAGCTGATTACCTTACCTATTTCACGCACACTTGATCAATGGGTGACTTATCATTTCAGACATACATTTCGATTTTAGCCTGGCAGTCTAATGTCTGATTCGCTAAGAATAATTGGATCTCTTCAAACTTCAGACATTTTGATATTGGTTGATAAGGGGTACACAGCCCCCTCATCTTTCTATAAGTGGGTGGGGAATGGTGGTAAATATTTTATATATGGAGAATAAATATCCATGACAATGGTTGAGGAAGGGGTGGGATATTGGCTTCCCATACAAAACCCAGATATCGATAACTTTTATTTTTTCAATTTTTTTCAATGACACAGAAAATTTGTGTTTAAAGCTAAAAAACATGACAAATATTAAAATTAAGAGATAGTACATACAAATTTATTTAAATATTAAAGTCAATTAAAGTTAATGTAATTATTTTTGACAAATAAATATTTTAAAAAGCATCCACTAACTTGTTAAATAACAAACACATTTTGTAAGAATTCAATTTAGAATTTGTCTCATTGTTATTGTACGATGCAGATATGACAGATTGAATAAGATGAAAACCCAAAGCAGATTTGATTCTGGATTTAGGCAGATAAAGAAAAAGGAAATTATTTGGATTTCTAGGCAATGTCAAAGGTGATTGATTCTATTTACAACCATTAAAAGGAAATCCTGTTTAAATAAAGCCTCACTCTGTTCTCGGGTACAGTAGTCATGCGTTAAAAATAGTTAAATGCATCATGTTGTTAATTTGATGCTTTTAATTTTACTGTCTTGTTAAAAAAAAAAACTTTAAATTTCAATAAGAATGTCAGATTACTCATGTAAAATCATTAAATAATATGTTTTCAACTCACTAATGACAAACTTTTAAACAATTCAGTTTTAGATGTTTTATTACAAAATTTGGATTACCAGCCAATTTAAGGTGAATTGCAAAGAATATACAAATGGTATAAAGTGTCTGTTAATTATTGGTTCATACTGATTATCTATTGGAATCTTGTAACCTAAATAGACAGTGTAAACAATCCTGTATACGCAGACAGTACATCAGAACACAGGCGTTAATATATGAAGTACCATACTCAGTTGGCTTTAATGGACCATACATGATTAACTTAATTCAAGTATTATCCCTGCAAGATAATCTTCCTGTTTTGAAAAATATATTTTCCTCATTCTCTTTATCAACAGCAATACATGATTGATTACTATGCTTTTGTAGAAGCAATTTATTTCAAGTACTACCTGGACGTGACTAACAGAAGGCAAATTAAACCAATAACATTTTTAGGATCTATTTTCAATGTAAACTAATGAGAATTTTTTTTTTTTATGTGGTGGATTTACATTGATTAAAGGTATTTTGCCTTGAAAATCCTGAGCAAAACACAACAAATTAAACTACATTTAATCTGATTATGAACAGCCAATGAAAAGCTAGCAAATGAGGTGGAACTGTGGTTTGGATGGTAAAGTGCCTGCTTTCAAATTCTTAAGTCCGGGGTTCAATCCTTGAAAAACTATCAGGTATATTTCTCTCAATCAAAAGGAGGATTTGTGTGTGAATAGGAAATTGTGAGGGAAAAAGGGTTTGAGTTGGAAGACGTGTTGAAAAGCTAGCAAAATGAAGTGGAGCTTTGATGGCAAAGTGCCTGCTTTCAAATTCGGGAGTCCGGAGTTCAATCCTTGAAAAATTGTCAGGTATATTTCTCACAACCAGAAGAAAGGTTTGTGTGTGAAGAAGAAATTGTGTGGGAAAAAGTGTTTGTGTGGGAAAACTGGATAGAGGGAAAGACGAGTTTGAGTGGGAAGAAGACTTTCCTTAGGGGCACAATATACAACAATTAGAGTGAGTATATTAGTAAAAGATTTTGAGGTGGAAAACAAGAAATGTTTGCTTACCTCCAATGCATCTGGGGTGTTATCAATGACATAAATACGAATGTTATAGTCAATTGCCGTGCTTAGACAGGGTGCAAATGCAGCTAACTGTAAGAGCTTCAAAGGGTGTCTATCAGGATTCGGTTCACCTACTAAACAGTACCAGCCTAGGTGGTCCACAACCAATGAACACGTATCATGATTTAGCTGGCAGTATACACTTGTATTGATCGTCTCCTCACCAATCGTTGCTATTTTCTAATAAAAAAAGGAAAATAAGTATAAATTTTCATCATATTTTTTTATCAACCTCAGTTATTCATAACATCACAAGTAAATTCCTTAAATAAAAATAACTAAATTTCAGCTGAAAAGCCTGTTGGAGCCAGATCCTTGAAGTTTAAACTTCTTTTTTTTTAAATTTTTTTTTCTCCTTTAACATATTGTCTAACAATATTCATCCATGATTCAATTCATTATCTATCACTCTTGATGCTATTCTTTCAATTTATCATGTAATTAGTACCCTCTCCAACTAACTTATAGTCATTAAGTCGATCTCTTATTCACTTTATTCCGTTTAATACCGTTTCTATTAATCAGCTATTCAACTGGGTTCTTCTCATTTGCTTTTATACAAAATACATTAAGAGTAATGTAGTTGGTATTTAAGGTATATTTTGTGCGTAATTCCTGAAATCACCTAGAAAGCGAAGCATGGTGAAGGCAATGTAAATTTGTATTCAACGGGCAGTATGTACTGTATGTTTTATTTCGAAGCATTTTTGAAAATAAAAACAAAAAATTCTAAAGCCAATAGGAATAAAAATATGAATTACAAAAAAAGTAAAGCACAAAATATTACTAAAAACAAACATTTGAAAAAAAATTTATCATTATTACCATTATCATTTCTATTAATATTATTATGTTTATCATTATTCTAAACAACTAGAACAATAATATTTTAGACCATCATAGGTCAGTAGATTCAAACATCATCAACAATGGAAATGAAATCACGCCGAAGAGAGAATCAAATTAAGAACTCTTACTGCATGCTATAATATCCGAGAGGTTATGAGAAAAATGAACTTCTAGACATAATATAGCCTCTGTTTAATGTTGTTATGCCAATAATTACAATTTATGTGTTACACTATCTGTTGACTTGGATTTTCACATTCAGGGTAATCAAAATTTTATGTAATGTTTAACTTAAATTTCTGAACTATAAAATGGATTAACGTATCCGGTGATAAATTCTTCACTGCTTTAACTGTTGGGCCTTTTTTCTGAAATCGTGTCATTTTGAATTTTATAGTTTTCTCGTTATAAAATTTCAAAAGATATATTTTATAGGGCACGATAGCAAATGCACACATTTTGTGTGAGTATGTACACATATGTATATATATTATATATAAATGCAGCACTTTTAATTTATATACTATATATGTATACATACATAAATATATAAAACACAATATTATTATAATAAATATGAATTATCAGACATTAATAAACGTATACACGTGAATATAATGTAAACATAATTATTAAATATTACGCTGGCCGAACTAAGCTAAGCATACTTAAGAGTGGAATAAAAATTTGATTATATTCAGCATCTATCGTTATACTGATCTAACAGGATTATAATAATGAAGGCAATATCTCAATAACTTGGCTAATTTAGCCTAGTTTCACGCCCTGTAACGTCACAGTTTACGATTTGGAATTTTTTATTTTCAGTCTGACGCCATCTGCAGGATAAAAATCGCTCAAGCGGTGTTTAGATGTACCAATGGGTGATTCCGCTTCCTAAAATTTCTTATCATTGCTAGTGCTGAATAATCCTTATTACATAATCATTTTATCTATATCTATATATAAATAAAATATTGAGATTACTAAACTAACAAGAAATTGTCTCATTATTTGGAGAAAAAAAATGCTCTGCCTAGTTTGAAATACATTAATATCAAAGTATATATAAATGGCTTTAACATAGTCTCTAGTACTTAAATGTATTTTTAAAAATAACAATAAAATATTTAACTGCGACAACTATCTGATATATAGCCCTCTACTCGATAATGTATACAGTTTTATTGCATGTTTTGAGCTTAGTAAAACAATAAAAATACCATAAAATGTTTTAATTGCTTATGTTGTATTTTTAAATAAGTCATTATCTTTTAATTTAAAATTTAAATCAGAATATAAAAATTTGGCATTATAAATAAATAAATTATTATGGCATTATAAATAAATACATTTTTGCTATTATTTATATTATCAGAATTACTATCAACTATCAAGACTTATCATTATCCAAATTATGTGATTTTTTTTATTCTTATAGTCTATGACTATTATTATTTTCCTCATGATATTCTTTTCTACATTTAGCAAGTTTATATTAAATTATTATAACTATTTTAAATTTTTGTATAAATATTTTTTTTTTATTGACTTATGATTCATGCCTTCATTGTTATTTTATTGCATGCTCTGGTAGGCATTATTACTTGTTCTACATAATGCCTACCAGATTTACATTTCGGGGAGAAAATAAAATGATGACATGAATAATATACAAATTATCCCTGTCATTATTTGAATAATGCCACACCATTGTTGATGTCACATTTTGGATGTGATGTCACTGATCCTTAATATTACTTACAGAATGAATAAGATTGATGGACATGGCGGAATATAAGACATCTTTTTAGCATTCTCCTTATAATGATATGATGAGTGTAATAGCAAAATTCATCAGTGTTGGCTGATGTTGATATACTGTTAAAGGCAATGCGAAGCAGAATGTACATAGTCTGGGTAGGAAAGGCAATGAAGTTGATAGAAAGAAATAACGAAATCAAAAAGGCCAACAGAAAAACATATTTGGACACAACAGACACAGATAGATACATATCAGGAAACAATGTACCACAAAGTAAAACACAATATAAGGTGGAATTTACACATGAAGGAACAAACATAAAAGAAACAATGTTGGGAGGAATAATGAAACTAACATCAAGAAACTGTGTCACACAAGTAAAAACAGGAAAAAAAAATAAAAGTGAGTGAGAAACAAGGTTGTTGGAATGTATAAGTGCAAGAGAAGTGTACAACACTGCCATCTGTCTACCACAATTTTTTTCCACATTGGACTCTATAGGAGTGACACTGATTTGTTGGTAAATCATGGAACCTTTTCCAGAGTTGTCGGGGACAACTTCACATTGTAACAATTGCACTGAAAACGTTATAGCAACTGTCTTATGATTTTATGGAACCAGGATTTACATTGCATTAATACAGAGAAATACATTGGAAACAGAGGGGAAAAAAAAAGAAATTTATACCCTGAAAATCAAATACCAACCTCCCATGTTCTATTTGTCCTTGATTGCCCCTTGCAATAATAAATGGAGTATTTCCAGTCACTATTTATCTGTGCCGCACAATGAGATGAGGTTAGAATCATGGGTTTAACCAAAGTCATATTGACCGGCCCGGCGATAATAATGGGGGTCAGCATTGTTTGTTTACTGTTGAGCTTGGGTTTGTCTGTTGTTTCCCTATTATACGTAATATAAAGTTCTTCCGAGTAACCCTTTGGTACAGCTCCCTCTGGAACAAATACGCTGATTCCTAAAGCAAAAAAGATATGCGAAATTGAGTTTCAAAAATTTGATTTAGAAGATCACGTTTCAAATCTACGCACAAATATACAGCGGTCTTCATCCATAAAATTTAAAGGGATATTTTTCATTTTTAACAAAGTGAATGAAACCTAATTTGATATTTAAAAGAAAAAAAACAAAACATAAATCCATTTATAAAAAAGGTGAAATTTAATAATTAAATTCTAGACAAATACCTGTAAGCTACTTTCAATTTTAAAGTTTCAAGGTTGAGTTGGGTATACATGAAGTAACGTCTACTTTGTCATGCAATATTAAATTTCATTTCAATAACAGCATAAAAAATATTAATGTAAAGGTACTAAGTTCATGGGAAGTATTCAAGAAAAACTTATTACTTGGGAGTACTTCCTGAAATATTCCCATTACAATTATATCATCATTTTACAGTAAAGCTTCACCGCTAGCGGTAAAATATAAGATAACCCTCAGAAAAAAAAATTAAAAAATATTGAGTTTCTAATTTAATAGGATTCACTATATTATCGCCTTCAAATAAGACAGATTGAAATGATTCAGTGTTCGCTGTTCCAGTAAAATTGATTTGCTTAAACTATATTACATGAAAATTGATAACGTTTTGATTTCTGTTTTCTAATTTACAGGTATTTTATGGCCTTAGTGAAAAACACTGTTGAGGTCAAAAAGTGTTGCAAATAAAGTTTATACTATTATTAATTATTATTATTAATTTTATTATTATTGTTAACAAAACTAATAATTTATTATTTTTAAATAAGCAATTTATTGATTGGTTTAGGGTTTCCAAATTTACTGCTTTAAAACTTTACCTGCGTTTGGGACACTTAGTCTACCTCCGCGTGAACCAATCGTACCCCAGGCCACACAAGTTGTGTCGATGTGCGCAGGCAAGCCAGAGCTAAGTACTGAGGTTGCTACAGTATCCGAATCATACGGCCTGAGTTGATCACTTCCTCTGGATGAGAAGCTTTTCTCTGAAGGCATAGAATCACTATTGGTGAGGCTTGGCAAGATAGGCTCAGCATACATCGGTTCTTTATTAGACAAACATCTATCAGAGCAACAGTCTGATTGGTCTGATTTCTGGTAAGGTAAACAGACATGGGTTACAGGTGTGAAACGACCTGACCTATGAGTCGGGGAGTAAAGTTCACAACTACATTTGCGAGACGAAGCCAGGGGAAGGTTAAGTTTTAGGTGCTCGCGACTCATGGCATGTCCGTTGGAGTACCCATTGGCAAATCCATTACCGTTTTGAAGGACCTCATATGGAACGTTGTATCGCATTCCTTCGGGTGAAACCTGCTTCAGTTCTGGACAGTACGTCATTGATCCGTCCGATAGGTTTAGCGGAGATGTCGTCATTTGTATTTTCTCCGGATTGGAGGCCATTAGAACAGCTTGTGTTTGTATTGGATGGGAAGACTGTGTTAAATCGGGTTGCATAGTCAACATGGCTAATCTTGTCTCATCTGCAGAGAGCAAAAAAAAAAAAAAAAATAAGGAAAAAAGGAATACAATACAACTACATAAAGTATCAATGTATATGTTAAGTGAATTGTAGTCAGTCAATATTAAAAGAGAACATAAACCTCTCATACTGAGTTGTCTATATACTTAATATTTCATTTATGCTGTGTTGTATCAATAAAGCATGTACTTCTTAGGTGAATAAGAATTGTAGGTATTCATGTACACACCACCTCCTAATAATGTTGGCGTGCATGTGTGTACCAATAAATAAACATACGCGGCACGTACAATGATGTAATCAATACCTTGCATGAACTAAAATCTAAAATTATGTCCTACAAAAAAAAACATTGAGCCTTGGGCCATATATTTACATATTTCTTTGTGTACTGACTGAAGTCGTTCATCTTTCACTGCATAATTTTATAACAGCCAACCATTTTTGAATTTTTGTTTTGTTCTGTCATATTCTTGCCATTAAGTTAGTAGTTAAGTACTAGCTAATTTGATTTTTTCCTTGTATAAAATTTAGAGGGGTACTACATTTTATTCATTTATTAAAATTTTCGACACAATAACAAAATACAATGTAAATGCCCTCCACCTATTGCTAATTATGATTATTGAGTTCCTTTGCATTGAAAGCACTTTCCAGAATAATGAAAGGTTTGTATTATATTGCATTAGAAGGAAGGCAAGGTTACAGAAAAATAAAGTGAAAACAAAGAAAGAAATGGTGAAGATATTGAGAAAAGAAAGATGGAGAAAACATAGTTACATCCTTCTTTTTCTCCTTAAAAGCTTTAATTACAAAATGCATGCTATATGTATATTGATATGTGGTCTTTATTTTGTTACCTTGCCAGCAAGATTCTCTTTATTTTTCACCGGCTTATCTATTTTCTTATATATTCTTTCACATTCAATATAAATGGCATATAACCAGATATTTCTATCTGTCCTCAACATTCCTTTTCTATTTTTAAAATTATCTGTATTCGTTTATTCACTCAAATCGTTAAACACCACACGTTTTAGAAGAAAAATGAGCTAGTCTGAGAAAAGTGAATAAAAACCATTTATATGATTGACAGCATCCTAAGCGCCTGGTCACAAATTTTAATCTTTGCTAAAAATACAAAGAAAATGTTGATGCAAATTCATATCAAATTTTATCACTTGTTTCTTCTTTCAGATATTCAGAATGATACCGTGAAGCCTTTGCTACAAATCGTAACACAAACCCTCGAACCATCATTGATTACCGTTATCGATGCATCTAAAATAATTGTATACTCACCAGATATCTCCTGACAGTGTCGTCCACGCAATTTCTTGCGCTTTGTTGCAAAGTAGGAGATGACAAAAACGCTGACAAGTATGCAGACCAGAACGGTGAGACCGATGCCAACAAACAGCGCTATTGTGTTTGCATTACCAGAAGGGCGTTCTGTTGGTAGGAAAAAGAACCCTAGATTTACTTGTACAGTATGTATACAATAAAAAACTCATTATATAGTACACCTTCAAAGTCTGAAAATTAGAAATTTGCCTTGTTTCAATCCGCCAATATTCAATATTTATAGAAAAAAACCAATACTACTTTGGAGTATAGAAAGTGAATTAATCAATTACTATTAGAGCATATTCAATATTTGAATTAATACCTATTCAATTTAAGCTCAATTGATTTGACCAATTTGATATCAGATTACTATTCAAGACATCGTCCTCTATCAATTTATAAACTTGATTGAAAATCCAGTAATGCTAAAGCTTCTTTAAAACAAAACTGAACAGATTGTTTAGCCAGCAATCAACTTTCATCTCAAGAAGAAATCAGAGATGAAAAACTATAGAGTGTGTACTCCACGCATATGGAGCATGGAGCACGGATCCTCCCTAAGGGTGGTACGTGATATTGAGCTTTTGTCAACTAACGATACTTTGGAGTATTGTGCAAACTTGGCTGGTTATCATTATTCAGTTTTAAAAGATGACAAAGGACTATAAATGAAAACAATGACTGAAGTGAGATACATATAGACCGCAATGAATTGCGCACACAGGCTGCAGTGTATTTCATGTGGACCAACAATGAATTTCACATATATTGCGATACATCGTACAATCCACAACGATTGACATACTCAGTCCATAATGAATTAAAAGTCAATGAAATACATGCCGTTTGCAATGCCTTACACGCAGACCGTAATCAATTACAATTTACACGCAGTCTGTAATCTATTCAATGTAATTCTGTGTGGGCTATAATGAATTGTGGCATGCAGTCAGCAACGAGTTGAACATAGACTGTATGCATTACACAAGACTACAATGAATTACAAATATACAGCGATAAATAGCTCATAGTTTACAATAATTACATGTTAGTCTGCAATAAATTATAATTTGTCTACTATGAAATACACAATCTAAAATTTATTACACGCAATGCATAATTAATTACACATAGACCACAATTACATGCACATGTCAATGAATTACATGCAAACTGATAATTGCACATAGACTAGATTGAATTACATGCAATACACAATTAATTACATGTAAGACACAATTAATTACACGCAGACAACAACTACACAAAGACCACAATTAAATTCCATGTACTCCACACTGAATTCTAATTCTATCACAATGAATAGCACACAGACCACTATAAATCTGACAAGGTCCAATATTAATTCTACGTGACCAAGTGACTTGCACGTAACTACAGTGAATTGCACCCGAACTGCAAGAATTGCTCGCAGATTCAACTTATTTCCACAAAGACTTACACATAGATTTTACATGCAGTCAGCAATGAATTTTACTATCATTTTCTTTATTTCATCTCTCCTTTAAATGCTTCAAAGACAACCTCCTTTTCATCTAATAATACATATTTCTACTGAACTACTTACACTAATATATAAAATAATTTCACTCATAGTACATTAATCATTCTCTGTTTCATATAATAACAAAATGCATGTTGATGGAGATAGAGAAGGAGGACATAGTCAATTGTATTATATTACGTCTGTTTTACTTTCAGAGAAAAGAGAGACAAATGTTGTTTTGATTGACATGACAGAGTGATGGAGCAGTAATATAAAAAATGATTAATATTGCAATAATGGATAAAAATATCAAATACAATATATATCAACAAATTAATCAATAAGAATGTAACTTAATTTGATTGAATAACTGAATAAATATATGAAAAAAATTAAGAAAAATATTGAAAATCAAGAATGTTGTCAGCACCTCATATCAATACTGTAAACACACTAACTCTAACTGATATACCATAATTTCTGGGGCAGAAAAATACTAAGACCTGCTTAAACACTAAACCTTTGATAAATAAAAAAAAATCCTGGATTAATAAATGAATGAAGCTTAAAGTGAATATATAAGTAGACGAAGACATGTCATGAAAATCTATTTTGACAAGTGAGTGGGTGATGAATGGTCGGTTGAGTCCTAAATAGAAAATAACAATAACAAAATATTCTTGAATTTAGAAGGCTACTGCTCTCAGTTCACTTTCATAGTTTACCTTCATCCCTATTTCTTTTCCATTTATTTTACCTTTATATTCTCAAGCTTTTGTCTTTCATGCCTATTGGTAATGATAAGTATGGATTTATAGAGCACATAATGCATAAAAACTCTATGCGCTAGACCTTTGTTTTGAGTTGTAATCCCTGTGAATGATACCTACTCCTTAAACTAAGTATGGTTGGCCGTTGACTCCTAGTATATTATTTCACACTTGTGTATGTGTACAGATATGTTGTGCTGGGTATACTTATAGTACCTGCAGACCTGGATGGAGTCAATAATTTACTGTAAAATAATTATCCTACCTCTCTTTAATATGCTCCTGTTATCTTTTAGTAAAAAATGACCAGTGGAAAAATGATGGACACTCAGTTGAAAAAAAATCTGAATTAAGGGGGATCGGAGGGTCAAACTTCTTGGAGTAATTGCTTTGCCATGCTTATTTCAACAAGGCTTAAGATCACTTGGGTTGGGAGCAGTTTAGTAGAATCTATCCTAGTTCTAAATTATAATGCTATGAAGCTTTATGTATTAAGGCAGAGTCATCCAATTCTCAGGGTCCTGGGTTCAAATTCTGAAACTTGCCATTGCATTTTTTTCTTGGGACTTCAAACAGATTGAGGTCCTATGAGCAGCATCCTGTAATTGGTGAGTGTATTTGTCGTTTGAAGTGACGGAAATGTAAAAAATGTTTTATTAAAGAATGATTGAATGAGCGACATGATCAATTTATGTTTGCATAGTAAATGGACAGAATGAATATAACAAATTACAGTAAAATAAATGGAATGAATTACAATGAATAGATAATGTACTCATTAATGTTGTAAAATATGGGCTAAGGATAATATACTTCTTTAATGTATTATTATTATTGTTTTGAATAATGTTGGCTATAATGGAATAGGAATACATACAAGTCCGTATCAATAGCGCCATAAGGCATATTTTGAGAGGGAGATCAATACGAGTATGTAAATGAATACAATAGTGAATAATAACAGAAATGAATGTCAATGTACAAAAAAAAGTTGCTAGATGGCTAGGCATATATATGAGTACGAATGTGGAAAATCATAGTCAAAATGTAGCACTTAGCAAAATAATGTAGGCACAATTGATTAAAACCAATTCAAATTACATTGTATAGATTACGAATCAATAAGCGTTGATTTTTAATCTAAAAGATGACAAGCATTTTCACCTGTTCTGATGAATTGAAAACAAAAAAAAAAGTTTGTTTCAGAAAAAATAGGATTAACCATGATTGGATAAACAGAAAAAAAAATGTAGATCTTGAAAACAGAGCGTGAGTAAACAATAAGCATGCAATTTAATCTATTTACATCTCAATTAATGTTCCAAATGGTAAGGTCTACTAACCGTTGCCATAATTTTGTTAAGATAGTAAAATATAATCATGATAAACCAAACAAGAAAATGAACCCTTGTACTTATGTGTATATATTTTTGTGGTCTTTATTTGTTTAGTAATAAGTTGTGTAGTAACCGGTTGATGGGTAACAATTTGAGCGGATAACGTATCTTTATTAGACTGACTTATCTAAATATAATCAACATAAACATCTTCTAATATATCGATTCATTCGCACACATTTATTGTTGGCCTATGTTGGTTCACGTGAAAAAAAAAAAAACATAGCCATACTAGTCATCTTTTTAATTATTTATTCGCCCTAACTGGCAATGCTAGTTTTCCGATAAGTGTACTTTGAACAAGAACACATTTTTGGAGCATACAGGACCAACAGTTTAACTTTTCTTCCAAAAGATGGTACACGATCGCAAATTGTATTTCAGCCCTCCAGCACTGGAATTAAACCAGGGACAGAAAGATAGTTATGGTTTAGCATAGCACACACGGTGACGACCAACAGCTTGGACGAATCAATGAGGCTGCTCTGTTCTATTTTGTGTATGCATTATCTAACATATGTCACTGAATTTGAATTTATTGATATAATAAAAAAAAAAAAAAAAAAGGAAACATGAGATTACATAAAGGAGATTAAATTCACTGTTGTGGTGTAGAGTTATGTTTTAAATGTTTCTTTTGTATGTGTGGGTTGAACATTAACTAAAGTTCACAATACAGTATAATCATATCTGATAAGGACTATTATTAAAGTGTCTGGCCATATCGATTAGATATATTTGATCGTTGCCTAAACTGTTTAGTATTATGAATATATGTATTTCTCCCAACCTCTATGTGTTAGAGGTGAATATATATCGCATAGTATTCTTTAGCAGGTAGAGTTAATATTACTTCGAAAAAAAAAAAAAAAAATCCTGCATTTTGTAGGATTTGAACCCAGCACAAGTCTAAAAGCTGGGTGCCATAACTACCAAACCACAATGCTTATTACAACTTGCATTGGTAAAGCACATAACAACACTGTAATTCCAATGTATTAGTTATTCTTCAATACAAGTCTTTGATTGATGTGTATCCACATGAAGGATAAACAACTCTGTTTACATTTTCTTCCCATTTTTTAACACCTTTAGAAAATAACCTGTAAAATTATTGATTGATAATGTTTCCATAATCAACTGAAAAAAATTAATGAATACTTTATCTCATGTTTCATAAGACTTGCAATAAAAAGATGAATTTTTCATCACGCATGTGTGAAAAATATTGGGGATAACGCTGAGAGCTGTAATATGAAGACTTATGAATGAAACTTGTAATGAATTGAATTTTCGAGGTGTTAATTAAAACCAAGATGCAACAGATTCATTAAGTAAACTTAATTTAAATTGTGACACCTGTTCAATATGTCAATAACTTAAATTAATTTTTTTTTGTATCAAATAAATTTAAATAGCAAGAAAAACTGTTGACAAGAATTATATTTAATGTTTTAAAACAAGATATTATTACAAACACACGCACACCCACACAGGTTACATGTTGTCGCTGTGCTAAGTGTCGGCTTAGTTAAGTCAAATTAAATTTATCTATGTATGATACCGATTGATATTGTTTACATTATTTATTGTATTTGTATACTATATTTTTTACTGTGCATATTGTTGTGGAGAGTGCAATGGTTTGGGCTGTTTTAGAAGATGCTTTGCAACTGTTTCCCCTTTCTGCCAGTGGCTACCGTCCTGTTGCAACTTGTATTGTTAATGCAAAGTCTAATAAATATATAAATAATTATTAACTTCATCCATTTAACCTACATATTACATCGTGAAAAAGCACATATAAAACCTAGTATCATGTGATATAACTTACAGAGCCATTCACAGTTAATTGAGAGAGTGGACTTAAAATAAATAACTCACCAGATGAATCTCCTAGTTGATTTTGATTTGGGAATCCAGGAATTGGACTTGAGTCTGGACTGGTATCTGACCCATCTTGGTCCCTAACAGTCTGTCCAGGCGATACTAAGGCAGAATTAAAAAAAAACACCGCAAAATTTAACTTTAATACTTATGGTAAGGTTAAAAGCAGCTAGCTGTTAGGTTTTTTAAAACCAAACATTGTTACAATGAGAAAAACAAATAATTTATTAACACCATAAATCTTCAAAGTAAGAAATGTTAACAAGATAACAAATTGTATATTAAGTTTCGCCCCAAATGTCTGTGATTGTGATGAGTCCACAGGCTATGGCCCTATACTACTTAATTTTATTTTTGAATATTTTTTTTCAAATACATAAAACATTTGCATGAATACAAGTTTTCTGTAAATAATTATTTACATTGTGGGAATATTAGGTCCATGAATACTGTTTGTGGTCCAATTTGTTTGATATTTAGTGCATGTAAGAACAGATAGGAGTGGACTACAGATTGGTTTCTGTGAAACCCCGATTTTTTCTACACATGGGCTTATGGATGACTGAATCACACCAAATATGGTACATGCAATGAAATAATGACATCTTCTTTGACAAAAACTAGAGGTTAAGTCATGAAAAACAGTAATTTAAATTTGTTGGTTATATTGTTATTACACACCACAAATATCAAAAGGTATGATGGTAGTCTGGTTAGAGCACTATTCCTAAACACAGATCATAAGTTCAATCAAAACCTAATCTCAAAATTTCATATTTTTTGTGGTCACATGTTAGCAGAACAGTAAGATGATTCGATAGGTAGGGCCAGGTATTTTTAGATACCTTGACAGAAATCGCCAAAGCAATTGCTCGTTTCATCTGTGGGACCATCGCATCCTGCGCCACCAAACGCAGGTGCGGGGTTTGAACAACTTCTTGTTCGCATACGTTTACAAAGTGTGTTGCAAGATGACCAAACAGACCAGGCACTCCACATCCCATTAACTGCACAAAGAGGAGGAAAAGAAGTATAAAGAAAAGTAAATGAATAAGAAATTTAAAGCAAATGAAAAATGTTTACACATGCAAAATAAAAAGAATGACAGAACAGATATAATGAAGAACACAGTAAAACATTGAAAAAAGCAAAGAGATTAAGAGAAAAATAAAGGAAGATTATGATATAAGCTTGCAGAATTTGTATATATTTATAAACTTTATATATATAAATAATTTAATAATAAAGAAATAGAAATAATTATCATTATATAGTTTTAATACATAACTAAAATTAAGACAACACCACACACTATATGCAAGGGTACTGCATGTCATTTTGAATGATGGGCCATTTTGAGCAAATGCTCTCCATACAAGATACCAAATTGATTACAATATTGATGAATACTGCCCTCTATTATTTTACAGTATGTTCTTCCTGGTGCTCTATGTAACAGACTTTACTGCCCTGGTGAGCAATTTATATTCAATATGCAACTATAGAAATTTTGATCATAAACGTTTGTTGGTCCATATAACATGCAAAACATGTTTTAAAACCTTTTCTAAAACCTCCGTAATGAAAGATGGGGTTTTTAGAGATTAATTTTACTCTAATGTAAGATTTTTTTTCTTAAGATTGAAATTTCTAATAAACTGGCAATATTGAAAAAAGGAAAAAGAACCCCATAAAATAGAAATAGAAATCAACATGGAATATTCTTTAGAGAAACAATCTATGATACCTAATACAAATGCACAGATATAATGTAAAACACAACCTTCCGCAGTCATTAGGTAGGCTTTGATACTAATATAGAATATTACATTGATACTTAAGCCCATAACAGAATTACATTAAGTAAGTATATTAGTTATACTATATAAGCTTTAAGACAAGGATATGGAAAACCATCGTTCGAGTGTCTCCAAAGACGCAATGATATCGTTTAATTGCAATAAATATAGTATTGACTATAATTCTAATAGGAATTCATCTTTAATTACAGATACAATTTCTTGGTTATACAGAGAAAACTATTGATGTTCGTTTAATGATTAGGATCTGAGGAGGATGGTCTTAACTGTGATGATATTCTCCTATTGAATTTGCATCACTCCACCATCTGATGATGAATTTAATACAACATTTCTCCCTTGGGAGAGCGTCAGTCTTTAGTAAGAATTAGAAACTTGTAGTTAGGTTAACTGAAAATGCAACTAATTTGTTTGCTGGGATGTGTTGGAATTCTCCAAGCTCCACATTGGAGGTAGAAAAAAAACATAATGGATATTATACACACACATATATATACATATATATATATATCTGTCTCTTATAC